CGGCATTCCACGCGCCAAACGACGAAAAGCCGGCAACAATAGTAACACCAACGATTACGGAGAAAAAACAACAAGAAGTCAAGACTCCTAGCAGTAACGCGTCGAACGAAGTCTCCGCCACACCTAGACAGCCGTCGCTCAAATATGACTATAAAAAAGATCAATGGAGTCCCGCAAATTTAGGCGGTAAGAAGATCTATGACCGCGATTTTCTAATGAAGCTTCAATTTGAGCCCAACAGCCGGATCAAGCCGCCTAACCTCCCTAATTTACAAGCCGTTCTGAAGGATAGTTTACAGGTATGATTACTTGTTGCTTTTACACATGTATAATTTATACACACACGTATGTTTAATGTTTTGTCATTAATGCGTAATTTTTGCAGAATGCGCATAATTCCGTGGATTTGAGAGCGTTTAAGGATGCGAACATGACCAGGCATGACTCATTGATGCCAGGATTTGCGAAAGCAAATATGAGTACGCGACCGGTAAGTCTAATTAAGGTCAAAATACGGTACATATACTGGAAAGAAAGTGGTTTAAGGATAAATGATGCCGAGTAAAAGTAGTGGTCCGAAATCTTTTGACGGATAACATACATTTCCTGACTGAAATTTTTTTCTCTTTCGAATTAATTTGTCAGATATCAACTCTGATATTAATACAAAACGTTTCTTGTTTCAGCCAACAACGAGCCGTAAGAGCGATCGGGGCAAACCAAAGCCAAACAAACCAAATGTTATTCACGTTTCTTTATCGCTCAGAGAAGACGTGAAACTGAGAGAAGCTGAAAATGCGTGGAGACCGACCAGATTAAATCCAAGTAATTTCACTGAAGAACAGACGAAGACAGAAGCCCTCTACAAGAAAGTACGAAGTGTATTGAATAAGCTCACTCCACAAAAGTTCAACACGTTAGTTGAACAGGTTCGGAGTTTAGAGATTGATACGCCGGAACGTCTGCAAGGAGTCATCAACTTGGTTTTCGAAAAAGCTGTTGACGAACCCAGCTTCTCCGTAGAATATGCGTTAATGTGCAAAGAACTGGGTATGATGGAGGTTGCAGGAGCCAATAATCAAGATAGTTCCGTCAACTTTAAGAAACTTATTATCACACGTTGCCAAAAAGAGTTTGAGAAAAATCCGATTGACGATGTCGAGAGGAAAAGAAAACTTAAGGAAATCGAAGAAATCACGGATCCTGTAAGTATCTTGCATTAATGTATTCCATTTCGCAATTATTTTTTTTTTAATTTTCTCCTATAAAATATTTTACTCTAATATCTGATGAGGATATCCTTATATATAATATTGTTCTCTTGCATTTACTTATTAGGAGAAGAAAAAGATGGTGCTCTTGGAATTTGAAGAGGAAGAACGTCGTGTACGTGTAAAATCCGTAGGAAATATTCGGTAAGTAAATTGTTTTATTTTTATTATTTACGTATGTAGCTAGGTGTAAAGATAATTTAAAGTTTATTTATAATATATTAAGCATATTTATTTCATATTTGCAGATTTATTGGAGAATTATACAAACAACAAATATTGACTACTAAAATCATGCATCGCTGCATCCGTCATTTATTAGATCAGAATGATGAGGACAATTTAGAATGCTTATGCAAGTTGCTAACAACTATTGGCAAAGACTTGGAATCGAAATCACCACCCAACAATGCTAATGACGTAATTATTCATATCTAATTGAGAAATATTTATATTAAAAATATTTGTTGATGACAATACCTATATTATTTCAATCTGTACATTTCGTTTCTTTTTATTCAGGACATGCAAGAATACTTTAATAGAATGCAAGAACTTGTTACCCGAAGCGCACAGAACAAAGAAGGACCGGGAAATGTAAAAATTAGTTCGAGAATCCGTTTTATGCTTCAAGATGTTATAGATTTAAGAGCAAACAAGTGGATTCCGAGAAGAAATGAGAACAATCCCAAAACAATAGATCAAATTCAAAAAGAAGCGGAATCCGAAAGACTGGATATGCAAGTCAATAGCACTTCGTTGAACCAACCACGAAAAGATGATCGTAATAACGACAGGAAAAGAAATCGTAAGTTTTACAATAAGATCCATTTGCTAGCCTTGTTTGTTAAGAACACATTTTTTGCAGTGACTCTGACAGTAGTGTGCTATAATTATCTTGAAATGAATTATTATGAACAATAATTTTTTACGCTAGGTGGACCAGGTGGACCTAGTGATGATGGTTGGAGTCAACCAGTAGGAAGAGTAAGACCCACGACATATTCGGTGGAAACGGCAAAATTGAAAATTAAAACTGTAAGTAATTCCGATTATTTATAGCACGAATATTTAATTTTTCTAGCTCTTTTTGCTATTGAAGTGCCAATATTATTAATTTTATCATTAACTTGTTTTTTGTTTTTTTTTTAATAGCCACCGATGGACGATATGCAACTTGGCAACAGGGCATCTTACCTATGGAGATCTGGGGTTCCGACCAATTCCAATTCCAAGACAATAACAAACACAAATAAATTTGCCTGCTTGGACAATATGCCGAATTTGGATCAAGATAAAAAGATGCCGTCATTACCATCACTCTCTGGGTAAGTCGGATATCCTTTCAAATACACGTTACTCCAAGTTATATTGCAGTCATTTTATATTTTGTTATATATGATGATATATAATTACAGACTAGAGTTTCTGAATCTTCTAAAACTTACATGATTATAAATAAATTCTGATGTTTTGCAAATTTTAAGTTAACATTTAAGAAGCATGTCGAACAATCAGTTATATGTTTCTATCTGTTATTATAGGTCAAGATCAACAGGTCCAAGGGAAAGTGGTCGTGACTATAGATCTTCTTATGGTATGTTCCCTCTCTCCCTCTTTCTCTCTCTCTCTCTCTCTCTCTCTCTCTCTCTCTTTTTCTTTCTCTCTCTTTCTCTCTCACACACAAATACGCAGAAATATGAGCTTACTTTAATTTAACACAATATATCATACAAAATATTTTTTGAATAAGTAACTCTTACGAAAAATATTTTTATAGACGGTAGGAATTCTCGGAACGGCACTCATCAATCGAGCATGGCAGGACCGAGTAGAGAAAGTCATTCATTACTCGACAACTCGCAAAACCGAAATGTGTCGATGCTTCCGCCCGTATTGAAATCCGCATCAGAATCTGGCGCAATTAGCCGTAAGCCTTCGATGTCGGAAGAAGAATTCATAAAAGCTCACAACTCCATAATAAGCCACTACTTTGAAGAACAAATTGTAGAAGTAAGTTTTCTAAAGTTCTAAAATGATACATATATTCTAGTGAGAAGAGGTATTGCGGATGAAACAGTGCACGCTCCTTAGATCCATCTCTGATTTAATAAGAGATGCTTGAGTCATTAGTGTGCTATAATATGCAATACCTTCTTTTTGGTTTCTTGTAGTAACGTTATATTATGACGTTACTCATTTTAACCAAAGAGAGGACAATATCATCGAGATAATTTTTTAAGAATATTATTGAAAATTAATCTAGATTTGATATATAATTTGAGCATAATTTTCTCTGTGCAGAATACGGTACTAGAAATCCAACAAAAGTTCGATAATGCAACATTTGCCAAGTTCACCCGCGAATGTATTAATTACGTTTTGGAAAAATCGTCTATCGAACGGGAATTGATCTCCAAGCTTTTATCTCATCTGCTTAGGCGAAATATTCTGCATGTAGAATGCTTCAAGAGCGGGTAAGTTATTCTCCTTTATAAAATTATTTTGTTATATATTTTGTCTATTAATTAATGATGAAAATCTTGTGATACGGAGTAAAGATATATGAAAGATATCTTTGTGCTAAGTTTGCCAAAAGGATACTGATGTTATCTGCACATAAATTCCGTCATATTGCATCAAGTTTAAACTCTTATTAAATACAAATAAATTCTATTTCAGATTGGAAGAAGTGTTGGAGATAGTGGACGATCTAGTTATCGATATACCGAAAATCTGGACGTACCTAGCAGAAATATTGTGTAAGTAAATATATGCACATTTTTTTCTCATTGCGCTGGGCGATATAAGATCGAAAGAAAAATTTTTTTTCCATGATGACTTCCATATCTTATACCATAGAAAAATGCCGTGCGGGTGCTATAGCTCAACAGGCCTGAATTAGAGAAATATCGCATTTTATTTGCGTTACTATAATCCAAGGTTGATTCACATATATAATTATTCGTGTTGCAGCGCATCCTATTCAAGACGAAGCCATTTCTCTGTATGAAATGAAGAGCATATTTGTAAGCTTGAGAAACAAAAGCAGAGAATCAAAGAATCAGAGCTTCGTAGGAAAGTTCATCGGCGAACTTCTGACAAAAGTGTCCCACAACAAAGGGGGCAGATGGGTCGCCGATAAATGGGATCAAGCTGGACTCAAACTGAACAGCTTGATTAACCCAGAGGATGTCGAAAAGATCACCACGGAATACGTAAGTATTCCTTATGGTGATCGTCACAATTATAACTAAATTTATATATTGTGATTGATTGTAAATTTTGTATATATGTTTTATATGTATGTATGTGTGTGTGTGTATGTATGTGGTATACTAATATTTTTTACTATTTGCAAAATATTCTCTGATTTGTATATTGTACTATCCTCTTTTTTTCTCTCTTGCAGCTTTGATTCTATAGAATCGTTGAACGGCTATTCATGATTAGTTATACATAGAGATTTTGAATAGGTTAAAAATATACACTCATCATGTATAGCCGCTCAATGAACAGTTGTAGTATTGGCTAGCTCATAGTTATGTGCATTATTTTTTTTCCTACTACAAACAAGCTTTTATTAATGCGCTTTATTAATGCTTTTTTTAAAGACACATTCACACATTTAAGTGCACATACACGATCACAGGAATATATGTACATATATACACACACACATCTTGCTATTTTTTATGTTTTTTTTATATATTTTTTTATATATTTTATATTAGATGAAATTATACTCATTTGTACAGATTACATACACTATGTTTGTGCCTCTATTTCTGCACAAACACTAATTTGATGTATATAATAAATTGTTTTTTTTTTTTTTTTTTTTTAGGGATATATATAGATAACGACGAAAAGGTACTTCA